AAAAATGAAAGGAACATCATCCTCTCCTCTCATACATTTAACCTAATGAACCTTTCACAGGCGTTCACCTAAGCTATTCATGCGCAAATCTATTGTTGAAATCACATTTAAAGTCAGATCCATTCGTATGTTATCGTTCATTTTTGACGAGCATGCGAATAAGTATGTTGTCCGCCGCGTTGAACGGTTCAGAAGATATCGCCTCGTTTCATTCATGATTCGAGGATGAGATGGCGTTTTGAGTACGAGTGTCTAAGAGAGTCTAACAGTGATTCACTCTGTCTGAATGACGTGAGCTGATGTTATTCTCAACATCGTGATTATTAATGGCAAGAGTTTTTTGAGTTAGAGTTTCAGGACGAAACCGAATGCATATGCTAATGAAGTTGCAAGCACGTTCGACTATTTTCCAGTTGTACATTCCTTTGCGTAATTTTCTCCGTTATGTTCGTGGACTTCCGTGCACTTTGTGTTAGCTTCAATTTATGCCACCCCGCTGGCTAGGCGAACAAGCCAGCGGGGTGGCATAAATTAAGGCGTAAATGTGGCCAACAACGTTACAAACGTTTTATAGCCTGGCCAATCCACTTAATGTTCGTGTGTTTAAGTTTCTATGTTTATGTGAACTTTGCATAGGAGTTTTCTCTCGATATTTTCCATTCGAATTTAGCGATTTTGTTCGCGAAGATTATTCTTCTCATATGGTTTTCAGATGTCTTCATCCAAGTTCTGGGTTTCCAAGCAGAAAATGTGCTTGCTAACAATGGTAGTTTTTGCACAGATGTCGTTGGTCGTTTCGAGTTATTCACGTTTCAAAAGACAACTTGGACCGTCCATTCATCTCGAGAATATTCTGATTCAAGATAGCATTCAGAAGCTGTTGGATGCAAATCAACGAGCGAGGTGTTTGCTGAAAGGTTTGTGATGTTTGAGCTGACGAATTGACTGCAGTTCTTATGAGGTACTCTTTGGGTGTTTTATTGACAGACTAACGATTCTGCATTCATGAGGAGTTGAAAAGCTGAAAGCGAATACTCTTTAAGAGGCTTTCTTGTTGCGGAGCGATAACTTCCACGATTTTTTGCGAGAAAGTTGTAGGAGTTTGCTGAGAATGAGAAGTTTAATCGAGTTCTTGACAGAGAGAAATCCTCTAGAGAGCGATTATTTGCAAATTTTTGCGGTGTAAATGTAAATTTTGGGAGAATCTTAACGCAAATTTGCATTGCACCTTTTGCTGAATAAATTATGTTTTTAGGAACCTTTTTGCTGATCGTGAGTAAATTACTGCAAATAATTCATTCAACATAAAGGTTCATAAAAACATTGATCTATCGTAAATTAATATATCTATCGTAAAAAGCATTGAGAAATATTGGTTACGATTACAGAGAGAGAGCTGCTTCCGAGGGGGATTCCTTAACGAAAGTAATTGCTCGTTCTTTTGTCTCATGACAATCAGTCTGCAAGAATTTGATCTACGAGATTTTCCGCTTGCACGATAGTTTGGATACAGTTTAATGTCGGAGATGGACAGAATTCAGTTCTTTGCAAATATTTAGTAACCTCGGAGCTCTCAGGCAAATTTCGATCATTTTGTCTGAATGAAGATCAATTATTAGTCCATAAGAGCTGCAGAACTGCAGTAACCACAGTGTGGGGTGTGCTTGCTTCTTCTTCGTTCTTATGAAAACGGCAGTTTTTTGAAAAACATTTGAGAATTCAAACAAATTTTCATCCGTTCCACTTGAAATGAGATTCTCACATTTGAGGATTACATATCAAATTTTCTCGCTTCCAATTAAAATACTTTAAAAATTTCAGCTCTCATCCACCGTCAACTTGGTCCATCGCTCCAGCTGGATCTGTTGCATCGTTTGTCGATGTCATTGGAAAATGAGAATTGTTGATATGGGGCACTGTTGCAGCTGTTGCTAGTTCTAAGTCAGATTCCAGATTTCTGCTGAATCTACTGCATTTAATGTTGGGAAAGCAACATGCAGAAACCACTTAACTTCGAAAAATATGTTATTTTGACAGCTTAATTAGTAATGCAAACATTTTTTCTTGATTTCCGCTTGTTGACATTTTTACCGATTCAATTCGAATAAACTCTTTCAGTGATTGATTTTGCTTTTAGTTTTCTGAAAATCTCATTGATTGTTACCGAAATGTACACGAAATTTCAGAACTTCTGTTGTTCAATTGTTTCTGAACGTTATCACCGGAGATATCTGGATTTATGAAATCAGCCAGTCATATATCTCCACCTAATCATTTATCTCTCCTGGTGGTATACACACCAAACATTCAGTGGAGTAAACAAATTGCGAAACTCTATGGGAAATTCTCACCAATTCTAAGCGTTCACTACTTTTGTTGTAAGCTCCAGCATTGAGCATTGAGCATTGAATTGTTACATTTCGAATGCAATAGCGAAGAATATTTATTAATTGCATGGAAACATACAGATTCCACAATATATAATATAAAGATTCACATACTACTTGGCACAGTAATTCACTCAAATAGTGATCATCACATCATTCGAAGAGACAGAACAATAGAAAACTGAATAATTTACGAAACATTACTAATACGAAAAAAAGAATGGCGCATATTGAATAAACGAAAACAGAAGAAGAAGGCACAGCACTTCCACGTGGTAAAATCATCACAGAAACGAATTGAGACAATAGAATCAATTGATTGCAAATTTAACATTACATTATTGCTGCTAGCTCATTAGAATCAATTTCACAATTAATACATAAACAGATGTGTTACATATATGAACATATTCATTAATATCCTATGATACATTTTAAATATTATTACGATTATCGTGTCAATAACAAAATTACAACGTAATATCAACATGCAAGCACAAATAATAATACATGAACAATACCCGCATTAGTGATTAAAAAACGATTTGGGAAGGACTTGCCAGTTCGCATTATTCGGAAATTTACAAGAAAAATGGAGAACTTCTCTGAATCAGTGAAAAATAGATTTTTCAGCAGAAAATTTCACCGAAAGTTATTAATGGCGACTTTTTTTGAGAGAGAGAAATCTTCAAAATTGCAAAATTCTCAAAATGATCATCGTTCGAATTTCCTAATGATCGTCTAAGNAAACCGATCGAAAAAAAGAAATAAAATGGCATCAGTAACAACAAAACCAACAACCAAACGAATCATCAACAAAAAGTAATACTGAAATAAAGAATCATCACATCATCACATTCACTCGAATATTCACTTATATACAAAATAAAATGAAACACAAATGCAACAAAATGGCTTAAGATACAATCCTAATTTCTACACACTTACGTCGACTACTCTTCAGAATTTGTTTCCTATCTACGCAAATTTCGTCTCTCCATCCAAAAATCTGCCTCTTATCTCACTTGAACATCGAAATTGGTTTAAGAATTCACCCATCCCAGCTGCGCATCAGCAAAAATTGTCAAGAAATAATTCAAATTACTCAAACAATTCGCATTCTCGCAATTGAAATCTTAATTTATCAAACGATAAGAGTCGTTCGCCGCGTAGAAGCTAAACAAATATAAACAAAATCAAATATAATTAATACGTATTATAACAGAAAAAAGTTATCACAATGTTAGTGGTCGGGTCGATCGAAGAATAAAAACAACTAAAAGCCTAAATTGTTAAAAATCCTATCTCTTAAAGACATGCAGACAGACGGTCCTTTGAGAACAACCGATAAGCTTCTGAATATTTCAAATTGAAATCCAGAAACTAATGAATTTTGACTGAGTGCATGATTTTGCATTCTAAAAGAGATTAATTCAGATTAATTCAGTGAATATTACCGGATAAATATATGAAGTGAATCGATAACGCTACACTCTGAACAGCCCAGCAGCAATGCCTGAGAAACACTCGCAAAAAATTAAGTGGCACACCTCAGGCGTACTGAACCTCTTTAGAATGCCTACAGTGTTTGTGTGAGTTGGAGCCTTTACTTTTTGCTGAACAACAATTCAGCAACGTATGCGATGGACATAGGCCACACCTGCACAATGGCAGCAAACACCTTGTTAAAATGAAATACACAACAATTAACATGAATAAATAGACCAACATATCAGAGACCATCATGATGAAGTTGCTCAACGATGAGACACCGCTAACCCAGTTCAGTGGGTTTAGATTCGTTAAAAATCCATTTACGGTGATTTTATTACACTCCGCGCAGTGTCCCTCGAGTTCTTTCCACGTGTTCTCCAGCAAATTGATCTGAAATCCAAAAATTCCGTGATGAAATGATAAATTTCCAATTAAGAATATCAAGGAAGTACTAAGATTTCCATGAACATTAGAGAGAAATTCTCGTTTAAACAAGAACATTTAGTAAACATCGGGAAATCTGATGAGCACTCATGGAAGTAGCACAGGTTCTAAGGAGAAAATGTGAAATTCTCATAGGACGACAAGGGAACTCATGAAGAAATTTCGGAAAATTTTAGCGTTTTCGAAGGAAATCCAGTGAAGTTCTCACCTCAAGAGGCTCCTCTCGGAATGGCACGATTCGACAGACTTCAGTCTGAGGTCGCTCATCATCGGCTCTTAAGCAGATGAGCCGATCGCCTCCACCCACCATAGCGGGCAATGGAACAATCACGGTTTTATTCGCACTCCGCAGATCGTCGATGTATGTGGTGAATCTGGAATCAGTGAACTTTGCTACTCATTTGCTGCATTTCACTGAATGATGATATATGCTCAGTAAAATTACTTCACAACCAAAAGATTCACTGAATCAACACTGAGAAAATATCTTTCAACATCGTTAACAAATCTTTAAACTCAAGAATCTGATTACCAAGTGCGACTACGTTAGTTTAGCATCCTTGAATAAATGCATACAACTGATTTATAAATTATCATAGTATATCAGCAGATCAATAATGATCTTTAAAGACGTTCAGCGATCAAACTTTTGGATGAAAATTGATTCAGATGGACAAACTATTGTTTAGATCTGGTGAAATGTTTAATTATTGAGTGAGCATTATGAAAACTTACGAAAAGTCCTCCGGACTGCCACGATCCACTGTTCGTTTGACAATACCATGAATGATTCCGGTAGCATTATAGACGGTCAAGTTGAAATAGCGATTTGATTTGAAGTCAACAATTATTGTTCCGGTGAAATCGTCAAGTTTCGAGAAATCATGAAGGAATGATAGAGCCGCAGAGCGATCATGAACCTGCAATGTGCAGTTGGTTTTGATTGTTCATTATTGCAATTGATTTTGTTTACATGAAAAGCTATTGTCTGCGACACGCTCACTTNCTCTCATAGCTATTGCATGCGAATATCGTTCTCTTCATGAGTTTTTCTCATTCACTTCGTTTCATTTCACTTCACGGTTCGAATCAATTTCTTATTCTGTAGCATATACTATTTACTGGATACGTTGACGATGTTGACAGTCGAAATCAACAATACAACAATCGAACTGAATCGCTCAGCAACGTTCGACAGTCAAATGATTATTTATAGAGTGTATTCGATGGAATGAGAATTTGAATTTAACTGTTGAGTAAAATGAATGAGAAATTACCAAAAGAAAACACTTTTGGTGATAAAAGCTATGAGAGCGATTGTGAGAGCATGGAAAAGAATGAAAACCTTGTTAGAACGCCATTTATTGACAAATGGATGTGATTTCACACCTCCAAATTATCCACAATGGGTAATTTCATCCCTATGAGAACCACTGAATTAGCATGAAACACCTCTTAAAGACCGCAAATGAAGAAAGGCCATATCGAATATGTAAATTCTAATAAAATATTGTGAAAGCTTGTTGGATTTTAAAAACGCGTGGATTCAGTTCAAAAATGACACTTTAAGATATAAAGTTTACAAGCGATTTAAGATGTCACCTGAAGAATCACTTCCAGATTGGTGCCTTCTGAATGTACGACGATAGCTTGACGAGCTGATCCATCAACAACTTGTGCACTACGAATCCACGGGTAGATGTGCTCAACAGAATCCTCCAGTGAGAATCTTTCCGGATTCTGAAACTTTACAAATTCCAGTGAAATTTCCAAGCATAACCAATGAGAAGCCATATCATTGTTGTATCTGCGATGCATGATAAGTATGTGGTTTCCAGGCATTACGGATATGAAGTTATATGGACGTTCAATGTGAAGCTTTTGTAAAATATGAAAGCAAAACGGATTCTCAACGAAATGTTAACGAAATCCATGATGAAGATATAATTTTAGCTCACTTTGAACGAAAATTCCAAGTATCCTAAGGGAAGGCCGTACATTGTTGGAAAGTAAAAGACAATTACTAAGTGAATGCTTAGATCTATTGAAAACAAAGGTTCGGTAATTACATCCATAACAGTGTGCGATTTCAGGCGAATCTCGAAAAGATTTTGAGATGTCTTTGTCACAAAGCCTCAAGTTGAGACCGTGATAAGTTGGTAGCAATTGAATGATAAGATAGCAGTGACTGATTTAAGAACAGCAATCAAAACGGCATGAATGGCGATCAGCTTACCTCAGGATCGTTCATGTCCACGTAGTGGTGTGCATCCAAGTAACTCTGTGACCTTTGTTCCTTACAATTATCCACCTTCGCCAAATGGATCTTCTGGATTTTCACTTTACCGTTCCGAACACCGAAGTGTCCACTCGCATCTTTGCGATACCATCCAAGTCGTTCGAAACTGAACATTCACTTGTATTATCACTTACAATTAATACCATTCACGAAACGGAGTGTTTTTGCGGAAAATCCAAAAAAATTCAGATGTACTCTTTCAGATCAAGATAAGAGCAGAAACGAACTTATTTTCATTCAGCTCATTGATGGGTTGCTTCCTAAGCTGATCCATTTCACCGCCTCGATTACTGATCGTGAAATACATTCCAGATTCGAGCTGTCTACTGGCTCGACCACCAGCCGACACACTCAGCTCGATTCGATGCCATCCATCCAGATATCGCGTCTGAGTTCTACCGTCAATTTCCACTCGAATCGTATTTTTGTCCTTCTCCACCCATCGGCCAGCCGTATAATCATATGCAACATATTTGAACACAACAAATGTGCTCGGTTGTTCAAGTTTGACGGCCATATAGGAACGATTTTTGTATGGACGGAAGCTCACCTTAAATTGCGATGTAACTTTTATTAAGTTTTCAACAGTCAAAGTCATATAAGTAGCAATTCGAAGAGATCAGCGCATTTCAGTCAAGAAATTTTTTATTGTTTTTCGCGGTATAGATGATGCTATTATTAAAGTGTTGAAGTAGACGACATTATTGAAAAAAAACCTATTCTGCATGATATCAGTCTGCAAAAAAACTATATCAATTCCTGAGGTTCCTGAGGTCTGCTAGAAAACGCCTTTCTATCAGAAAGTGAGATGAATGTTCCGCAGAAATCATTAAGTAAATCCTAAGGTTCCTGAGGTCCACAAAACTAATTTTATCGATAAGTTCATGTAATGTGATAGATAAATCAATAGAATTTGATGCTTTACGATAAATTAAGATCATTTAACGAAGTGATTACATAATTTTGTGGTTTTGCGATAGTGCGTGCGGTTTTACGCTTTTTAAAATCAATGTTCTGACACAAATTTTTGGGACATTCATCGGTGTGCAGTGTAATAATTCGCAGATTATCGCAGATCATCAACGATATTCCATTTCAATTCAACAATTAATTAACACCTATTAACACCTTTCTTTTAAGTATTCGGAGTGTAAACGAAACGAAATGCGTTGGATGTTGCGTGCATATTTATCTATGTCATTCATCAATGTCAGCAATTGTGAATGCGATCGTAATCAAGAAATTAGCAAGAATTAGTTCAGTATGTAACGAATGCACTGTGTAATCGGATTTGGGTTTTTTTTTGAATTGCAAATGAGCAAGTCTTTGATCATTCAATGAGACGATTGGATTGAATGAACGATCGATTTATTTCGAGATCAACTGACTGAATTATCGATCAGTTCGTAATGAGAATTTAGGAGATATACGATTTGCTTACCTCACAGCAGAGTTTCGATTGACTGCCTGGAGCACAACCAGCATCAGATTGACTGGCGTGGAAAGTGCGATAGCACGACGTATCCTGAAGATTTGAAAGAATTTATCACTGATAATGATTTGATACTGATAATGACATTGATAGGTAGTGATATTTTGGAACATTGATGCTTCACAATGTTTCTGGTGAAAACATTCAGTACTATCGAACACTAGTCGTCTCACTGAATATTTTTAAGGAAAAAAAAATTGATGAATCAATAGAAAATTTCTTAGACATATTTACTGAAACCGGATTGAAATACTGAACTCTCAGAGCCTTCCTTCAACCCTGATGCCACATTTTGCAGAGGAAAGTACGTTCTTCTGTCAAACATTAAGCAATGTCGATCATATGAGCTCATGCTTTCATATAGATTTCTTTCATGTGAAATGGAGGACATTCACTCGAATCATTATTATGGGAACGGATTAGCGGCCATGAGAACTAGGCGAATAGGCAGATTCGGAAATGAAAAGACATACCGTGGAAGAATTTGGGTGATTACAAGTGGCGAACGAATGGGTTCGAGCTGAACACACGTTAGAGGTCGGGTCACAATCACAAATACACGAGGTGGACACCTCAGGTATGGCGAATTCGTAGTGTTGAGTGATAGGATGGTGATGCTCCAGTTGAGTTAGCGTTAAGGTATGGAGCCAGCCCTGTTCAGGAGCTCTGAAACGAGTTATTATAGTATGGTGGCTAAATATTGAAGGTTATTTTGAGATTCAGATGGATGTACTTGAGAATATTCTAGGAACGATGAATTTGTAATGGTATGTTCCAGAAGTTACAAATCTGAGGATTTGGAGAATTTGATGGTGTAATATTTCGAGAAATTTTCTCAATCTTTTCTCTCGTAAAAACCGTTCGATTCAGAACTATTTTTGTGACTGATCGACTTCTCTGCTTGATCAGTGACACGGCAAATTTTTGTTATTGAAGGGAACATGACATTAATAGGTGGGAATGGAGGTGATATATTTTGCAGAAGGAGAGTTTCCATATTTATACAATTTCATACTTTACTATAATATTTAATCGGAAACATATTCAGACTTTTCCCGTAGCTTAGTATTTTCCATATTTGGAAGTATCAAAATCTGTGTCCACCCTAATCGGTAATGAGCAAAGGATAGCTTGACGTTAACGAATCTGGTTCAAGTACTAAAATTTTATGTAGCACAAGATTCTCGTTGAAACCTACTTATTGCTCAGAACATCTGCGAAGATCGAAGAGGCCTGAGCTGACGGTTTAGCGGAAGCTTCATCGCTTTCTGAAGATCCGTTGTCGATCCGGAAACATACCGTACTCCCAAGGCCAATGTGAATATTCATTAGGATTGTACGCAGTGATTCATCACCTGCTGCTGTAATAGAGGTACGGTTGAATTGAGGAATCATTCAAGGGTATTATTCATTGCATAAGTATTTGGGTGAGTTCATTCGACATCAATTTAATCTTCCCATTTCGTGACTAACTAAAAAAATTTCGACTTTTTCTTTTTGAATTTGTGGTTGCTGATCAATATCTAACGGAGAGATCAATTGCGAAACATTATATGAAATGGTCATATTGAAGTTATATGAATATCCTGGAGAAATCACAGTCGATTGACTGTGACTAATTTGATCGATTATGAGTTTCTTATTCCAACTTCGGAATCTTAATCAAGATCCAAAACATGAGTGCAATGACGATAGCTGCTTTATGATTTGGTCATCTTCAATACTAATGAGCGCGAACTAAGTTCATTATTATTTATTCGATAAATATGTTTGTGAGACTGATTTCTTCTGAATTCCATCCGTGAACAGTCGAATATTTGTAAGAGGAAATGACTGCAAAGTGTGGATTGCGAAATTCTTTCATTTCGAAAATACTGATTTTAGACGCGGAACGGATAGTCTGTTTGGTTTGGTGAGCAACATGTGAGAATGACGGAGGATACATATTAAACCATTGGCTTTATAGAAAGTACACCATAAATATACGGAAATTAACGAATCAGTTAACGAAATCAACAAAATTATCGAATTAACTAATCAATCAAATATTTATCATGAACTATCGTTTTTGTAATTGATTGCTTGACATTGCGAAATGTTGCGCAGTTCTAGGATCGGTTTTCAAGTTGCATCGTAGTTTATTGAGAATTTCATATGGTATGACTATTTCGATTAATTTTTTTGAATGGTATTTGGGTGTTTCTGTGCATTCTGAGGGTCAGGATTGATGAAACTATTTTTCGGGTATAGTTATTATTCAACCCTTCCAGATGAGGTTTTTTACCCCTCGAAACGCATAGAATCGCACTTACCATGGGAAAGAGTTGACTTAATAACAGAGGTTTTAGTGCAATGTGGTGGAGTGATCGGTAGGATTGGTTGAAATGATTCTGAGGGCCTGATCAAGGCTGCTGCAGGCTTCGGCGGTGCCGCAAAGCAACACCGGCTCACCAATATCAATAGAGCAAGGCGCCTGAGTATTGCCATTCCCATGCCCATTTCTCAGTGCAAGTCTTCGTTAAGACTTCGTCTTCTGATTCGTCGTTCTGCTGAATTTTCGTACTTTTAGCCTGTAATGATGGATAGATGAACGAAATCTCAGTCTCATTTTCGACGGATTGAAGCAAAACGAAATTGCCGCAAAAACACAATATCAAACAATTCAAATTCATGAGTAATCTCCTAAGATCAAATATCTATAGTATGATTGAAACCACGTTTTGCAATGATACATTATCAAGAGAGTGATTTTGCTGATTTTCACATAAACTGATGATGGAAGCTGAATATAAAAGTATGGATGTATGAAATGCAATTGCTTGATTTTTTCGAAGCTATCAAAATCTATCATTAGCAAATGGTGCATAGAGACCCTAAACTAAAGCGAATGAATCAGAAAGAAATTAAGCAATTCCATCTAACGAGTATGGACTCCTGATAAGCTCAGGGTACCAGGTTAGTCAAACCATCTAACGGCAAGGCTATCACATAGATATAAATCTCAAAGGATAATCATGGTTTGGGCATTAACATTGAACAAGATGACATTCACTTGATTAATCTGATACGTGCAGGGTGGTATTATGAAATATGACAATAGATAATGAGATAAATTGCATTTAATTACAATTGAAATGCATTGTCACTTAATTGATAGCATATGAATTCGTAAATTTCAATGTGAGACGTTCTAGGAACTAGGCAAAGATCGTTTCATTCAAAGAGAACCATGCGTATGGATTTGTAAATCAGTGAATGTGTCTGTTTTAGTGATGATTAATTAGATTTTACATCAAAAGGTTGGCAGGGGGAGGGGAGATCTGCTTGGAACGCTATAAGACAGAAATCGTTATCTCTTTTATGGTATTGAATGATTCATTGTTCTGAGTAATAAAATCGCGTTGTATTTGCGAAAAAGGGTTCATTAAACTGTTCTGACCATTCATGTNAACTGCCAGCCATAAACAATAAGGCAATAACCATAAAGGTGCGAAAGGTCACGTGAGGACTATAAAGGTGCTAAGTTATATCAGAACACTAAGATACTCGCCATTTTATTTGAGATACTTGCCTGAAGTAATACTTTGGGAAATCAGCAGACATGTTTTTTGCCCAGAACGGAACGAATAAAAAGTATTTGCAAGAACAGTTTCCTGCAGGAATCACTAAAATACTGCAATCTTTAAATTCATTATATATCACTCTAAATAATATCTGCACAACTGGATGCAGTGAGGCAGGATACAGTATTATAGTTATTGTCACTATGATCATTGTTAAGGATGCTGGTAAGTATTTGTAGTAGAGGGCGAAAAACTTTATGACTGTCATTATGTACTACCTACTTAAAGGAACGAGTCTAATTTTTCAATCTCTACTAGTTTAATACAATAAGAAATTGCATCAGGCACATGTGTTTTTGCAACGAAAGAGTAGAAATGGTACCAAGACTTTTCATATAATAGAGACCGTTTCTATAATTTCGTGAAAAAAATTCTCCAGAAACTGGAAGTTTTCATGGCTTTATGATTACTTTCAAGATTTAAAAAAATGAGTGGTTAGGTTGGACGGGAAAAGAGCGTTGTGATTGCTTTCGCAATTCACGATCAGTAGAGAATCCGAATCTGGCACAATGGGGGCTAGATAGTAGAGTGAGGAAAGTTGATCACAGCAGATCGATCATATCTGTGATCAGCTGATCAGACAGATCACAGATAGATCAGATAGAATGTGATATCAGTGATATTGGTGATAACTGGGAGGCATAAACTCGTGATGAGTTGGATTTGCTATTAAATAAACATATAAATAGATCACATCGTAGAGGTTGAATTAAAGATAGTCTGTGGTTTCGCAGAAACCTCACTTGTGATGATTCAGTTTGAAGTTTCATGTGGGAAGCTGTCAATGAGCAAATTTAAGTTTGGAATTAGGTAATATGTTCTGCGCGATGTAATATAACAATTTACAAGCGTTTTCGATTGATGTATAGAATTGTTTTTGCTATAGGAATCGGGAGGAGTCGAACGGTAACACATAAAAGGTAATAACCACCAGACAGGTGCATGAATGCGTTGTGTTGATTTCTATTTATTACATTATGTTGATCTTGTTCTCGTCTTATTTTCGAAATTCTTCGTTTTAATTTCAATAACATTTCAACACATTCGATCGATTGGAATGACGAGTCGTGAAGCGCTGACTTTTCGAAAAACCACCGAATTCCTTGGAAATCTGGAAAGATTGAGGGAAGAGCGTAGACGAGTTCTCATTCACCAATACTGTCGACTTCAAATTAAAAGTTGAATCGCAGACTGGCAGTCAGTCTTTTACGACTGTAATGTCTTTGATTCCAGACTTCCCAAGTTGGTAGTACTTGTCCGCCAAACCACCCAAGCGAAAGCTTCATACGATTTCGGCAGTACTGATATGAGGTGCTCGTAAAATTATTAAGATGTGAAAATTACGATTGAATGAATCGCAAACTTCTTTGAACAATAATTCCTGTCGCTCAATAATCAACTTCCAACAACTTTCTCTAATTGGATTAACAATTATCGCGAATTAGCGCCTGCGATAAGTCAACCAAATTATCGAATTAGAAAATTAACTTGATTATCATCAGTTAATAGACGACAGCTACAGTACTGATTAATTACAGGTATCTGAGTGGGTATATTAAAGGTTTCGTGGCAAACTGATAATTCCNATACCATTGCATATACGCTATCAATGATTCTCGACTCTTTTGTATCACAGATTCTCTAAAGATGTTACACGAATGTGCATCATTATTTGATGACGAATTAATTAGTGATTAAGTTGACAGTTGAATCACTGAAAGGCAGGCAGACATTCTTTCATGATCAATCTTCAGATATGTCGACAACTCATATACGTTTTGATCTGTTCGAGTTATTTATATGACTGATATTAACAGTTATCTGAAGAACGGAATTTTTCGTGGTTCTCTCGATGAAATATTGGATGCTGATCGAGTGTGAGGCTGCGAACAAAATTCTGTGGATATAGTAGAGAATCTGAGAACGCGTCAGTTGATATCACCGGATAAACTGCTAAATATTCGTTCCAGAAAGTGTAGAAAATTGCCACAGTGAAAGTTACATTCAGAATGGAGATTACGAATGCCTGATCACGTTTGAGTGATTATAAGATATGACTGGAACTGCGATACTAAAAATATTGATGTTATCCAGATAATGATTTGAAGAAACAGAGCAAATAATGCATTTATTAGTGATGACAAACATCGCTGTTGTAGAGATAAAACGAAGAAACACTCTGAACGTTGGATACGTTTGAGGTATGTATCATGCATTCGAATTATGACAGTGACTGACTGGTGTAAACTTGTTTTTGATACATGATTTGTATGATATTCATTCTTCGTCAATAAGTCATTCAATTGAAATTTCTTAATTCCATTAATTTCTATTGGAAAAAAATTCCCAGAGGAATCGCAGTTTTCACACTGAAAACTTCACACTTTGATAGTATTGACACTGAAAAAACATAGGCATGCTGAATGAAATTACGCGAGGAACTGAGAATTCTCGACAACTAGTTCCTGAATCGTTTTGGAGCCCGGAAACGAGGATGTACACGAGATCGACAATTCAGGAGTTCGAATGGAAGATTTTCTGTAATTTGCCTAAGCTTTCGATGAGGGAATGAAAATTATATCCAGCGAATTTGCCTAACACAACGATCAGAGAAGTAATCAAAAAATGAATTTAATCGCAAAAGATGATCAGATTATGAAATAGTGGTCAACACGCAGTTTTGCGTGATAATATTGACAGAGTCATGAATTGTAGAACGTTCAAAGATATTTGCACTGGACCGTATTTGTTCGCTGATTCTTCACTAAAAGTGCTCTGATACTAATTGTTGACAGTATTTATATCACGCGTTGGCGTCTTAAAATAGTCTTACATTAGGCAATCGTACTGTAACTTTATATTGGACCATGCAAAAAATCACAAGACTGCTATGCAAATGTCTCAATATTTCGAAACTTCCACTGACCTTCACCTCACTTTACCTTTTACGTTAAGCACGAAAAAAACAACTCTGCCTATGTTCCAGTGCTCTATGTTGACCATCGTTTTTTCCTTTGAATAGAGCCATTATTGTTGTTTGTTTAACATTTCCAATGGTTAATTTGTCATGATGATTTGATAGTGTTATGATAGATTGCAACGCCACACGAGTTAAATTTTCAAATGTTCTAGTACAATTCTGAGATTTTCTATCTTCTTATATGAGCAAACAACCGTAGTGGTTTATGGGCATGATCTATTTGTGAGCGTTGTCTTTTTGTAAAAGTGAAATTATTTTGAAATAACAAGTTTTTTCGACAATCCATTATTTATTTGTTTTCAATTGGAATCTGGAATGTTTGAGGATAATAAAGAGAAATCGCTTGAATGCGATAATTTGTTAAAAACATCGAACAGTGTGGCAGTTCACTTCTATGAGATAATCGAAGCGTATCTGAGCAAATATTTGCAAATACTTCGCCGTAGTGATCTTAGCGATATTTTGACGATGTCTTAGAAGGATATGGCAAATTCTGAACGATTAATGAAGCACACAAGATCGTGGAATATGGACCGGAAGGCTGATGATGGGTCGGTGAGATGCTTTCCGGCTTAAAACTGCAGTGAGGAATATCATAACAGAGGGAGTGTGGATAATCATATGAAACTGATGAATTTTGGCTGAACATTCAGGTTGATGTCACCAGTCAAATACTGAGAAATGAAAAGAACTGATCTCTATCAAATAAGTTTCTTCTGATGTAGATGCATTAAAATAGGGAAATATTTAAGATGTAAAGCATACTCGTAAAGAATNAAAAAAAGACTTCAACGAAGAATCACTAAAAAAGAAATCCTACAGACTATTGTAAGATATTCATTCATAATGCATGTTCAAGATTATTCAATACATATCATAAGAATACAAAGCAAATC